GAGAGATGCAACAATAAATCTGTTATTTGTAAACAGAAATTGGAGAATAATTTTCCAGATTTTTAGTGTTCAGGCCTCTTATATACTTGTCTTAAATTTTATGTATTAATATACAGTTTCTAAAATATCAGAAAGAATTTTAAATATTCCAAATCATTAGTTGTGGAAAAAATTATAAGATTCCCATTTTGTCTTGAACATAACTCAACCAAAGATATCCTTCTGAGGCTTTCTCCAACCAAAAATCTCTTCTTTACTGGATAGCCACACAGTAAAATGCCTCCTAAATTGGAGTTCACAGAGCTTTATATCTTACTGTCGAATGTAAGCAGCATAACAGAAATATGATGTAACTTCTGTAAGAGTCACAAAAGCAAGGGTTCCACTGTTCGCATACAGTTTGGAAATGGGAGAGTTTGGTCTAAGGTGATGCTGAAGTTGAGGCTGAAGGGGCCCAAGGGTTATGAAGTCTTTTGTAAAAGTTTTTAGATAGAAAAAGTACAGGCAGAGAATTATTAAAAAAAAAAAAAAAAAAAATCCTTGCAAAAAGAGTACCATATTTGGGTTCTTTTTCAGATTTATTATTGTTTTCTTGTGCTTCTTTACTTCTACATTTAATTTTTTCCCCTTTGTTTTGTGTAACTGTTTTTCTGTATTGTCTTCTCTTTTGATGGATAGCTTTCCTTCATACTTTTATATTAAAATAGGAAAATTACAATTGCTTATGATAAGATAAGATAAAATTCAATGTTTCATACATCATAGATTTTCTTAAGTTAATTATAAAATGCCATACATATAGACATCAGATCCTATTATTGCATTCACATCAATAGAAAGGTAAATAAGGCTGTACATACCAATATAATCTTTTCACTGGGGCAACCTGTTGTGGTTCTGAAACTATAATCTTTTGAAAAACAAGTTATGACAAGTCACATGCACTCTAGTAAAGTTCAAGAATAATGAATATATGTCAATCAATTAGTTACTTTCTATTATAATGTTTTTCCTTGGCTATAAGAAAACCTTTAATAGAGTATGACACAATTCATTGAGGTTATTTATATAAAAATGCACATTAGCACTAAAGGTACCAATATTAGAAAGTCATTGTATGAACATACGAAAAACTTGTGCTTGTATGTGTAAGCCTGTCCAAAATGTATTAGACAAGGATGTGTGCTTTCTCCTTATTGCTTCTGTCGTGATCTATAAGATTAACCGTTGATCCTTAGTACAAAATTTTTAGCTGCCACCACCTAGTTAATTCGTCCAGGAATGTAAGTTAATGTTCGCAAAGTAAGGGGCATATAGAAGAGTGTATGTAAAGTTAGAGGAAGCAAGTGTAAGTGTATAGAAGTTACCAAGGTTCAAGGGTCAACAATGCGGTTAGCATGGTTATGCCCGAGATGGAGTGCATGTCGACCTAAAGCCAATAGTGGGTGCAGACTTATGGTATTGAAGTTGACCATCATATTACTTTAATTCTTAAAATCCTTGGAATAAGAGGGGATACATAATGGGGTCATAAACAAGAAATCAAATCATTACAAAAGTCTATTAAAACCGTAAAACCAGTGAAAAGAAAAATCACAAGAACTTATTAAAAATTGAGATTTACCATCCTCCAGTATCCCAAAATAAGCAGGAGTGCAAAAAGGCCAAAATAAAATTTGCTCTGAACATTAAAAAGGTCACAAAAATGCAACTATCCTAAAATGTAACAAAAGATTCACAAAACCTATTCAAAGAGAAGAGAAGAGCACATCACCTCATTAAAAAAAATTAAGAAGAGTAACAAAGATTCCATCTTACTGCCTCTTAGCTCATTACCCTTTACGACCATAGACCAGCGCCCCATGGCTAAAAGATGCTCTCTCCCCCCTTGACCTGGCTGTTCAGGACCTATATAGAGCCCTCCTCAGCAAGCCTGATTACAAAATGAGGAGAATCTCGGGTCAAACAAGGTGAAGGTCACATTCCTGTCAAGAGAATCAAGAAAATCCTCATTCCCTTTAAAAGGTGGTGAGAATTATTAAAATTGTACTAGAAAAAGTAAAAGTAGATTATTATATAATCCCCATAAGGCAAAATGTGCTCTCCTATGCAGATAGGTAAAAGAAAATGAGAATAAGACTTAATATAATCATTATAATTAACACTATAAAAAAAATGCCAACTCAATTAAATACCACATATTTCTCCTTCCCAGCCTCAGTTCCTGACTCAGGTTCGTTATGACTGAAGTGTTACAGTATTTTCTAGTAATATGAATGTTGGTGGAAGAGAAGTTTTGTCAGTGATATTAATTTCATTACAGAAAAGGAAGACAAGTTATGAGACTTAACTGAGAGAAATTGATTGGACAAAGCATGGTATGAAAGATAAACTACTGATGAAAATCTAATTGCAATTGAATCAACTAATACATCTCTCAGATCAAGAACTTAAGGATTTATTCATGTACTTAGTTAGCTAGATCAGTAATACTTTATGT